CTATTCAAGCACTGGAGAGCTGCTGGGGTCTGCCTCTTGTATGTGCAAACACACAGAGCTAACAAGCCTGGCAGGTATACAGGGCATCATTTCCAGCAAGCCCTGTGCTGTAGCCAGCCATTATACTTCCAGATGACCCTACACTAAGCTCAGAAATATTTCTGTCCAAAAGATGGGTGAGAAAACCAAAAGATGGGCGAGAAAACCCACAACTCCTAGCAGGGGACAGCCCAGGCAGCCAGGAGTGCCTTGCTTCAAAGGTGCTTCCAGACAAAAGGGCTGGAAGAATCTCCTCCTCAGCCCCACAACTAGTTGGCCATGGTCCTGAGAGCCCTCTGGGCACGGCCACACTGCAGAGCAGGGTGAGGATCACTGTGTGGGCTCTTCATCTGAGTGCTTTGTGTTGCAGGGGAGGTGGACAGCCAGTTTTTCTATTTATTGCTCCTGTAGGACACTGCCACGTGGAGCAGAAGCTTCCCACTCTGAGTTCTCTGTGTGCTGGGCAAGCTCCAAAGAGTAGCATCCATCAGAGCAAATGCTGCTGCTCTTTTCTCTGCCCCCCTGAAGAGATGACACCCCCCACCAGCCAGAGTTTAGCTCTACAGCAATCGATTTTGCCTGATTGTCCCTCCTGCCTCCAAACTCCTACTACCCACCATGGCATGCCCAGCTCAGAGCAAATTAGAGAAAAAAACAAACAAAATACACCACCCTACAACATCCTTACAAAATGCTGCTCAGCTCTATGTAGCTCTAGCACAAGGAGTTTGGTGTATTTTGATCATGCAGGGAATTCATTCAGGAAATTGGTTGGCTGTCAAATTTATCTCTGTAAATGTGAGCAAACTGTTTTATTTTTCACTGACAGTCTCATTTGGATATTGTTTTGCCAGTGAAATCCTAGCAAGGCTTTCTTTATGTCACCATAAATCTCTAGAAGGGTTTTCTTTGTAGTAAAAGAAAAAAAGTGTGTTTGCAAAATCACTGTTAAGAGTATTGCAAAAACATACAACGTATAAACCAGGTGATACCTTGCAAAGCACAAATTACAGAAAACAAACTGGGCCCAATAAAGGTCAAGCATGTTCACAGAAGAGATTTTAGATACAGAAAATGCTGTTCATGTTGTTACTTTTTAAGGCCCATCTTCCCTGTTCCTTGGTTACACACCTATGCCCCTACAGCTCCGTGGAGCAGCCAGAGTGGCCTTTTCCATCAACAGCAGCACCACAGACACATCCCACTCGGTTCTTACCAGTTCCCCCAAGCAGATCTGCTCTCTGCTGTTGCACCAGGCTCCTTCCTCACCTCCCTTTTCTCCTGTTGATTCTGATCATGCTGCTAATGAGACTCTTGGTTCCTGACCTCTGGCCTCTTGACAGCCTCCCCCAGCCCCTGGGATGTTAAATAAGGCACAGCAGCAAGCCCGCCTTCAAACTGTTGAAATCAACCTCAGCAAGATAGGGGGGCATCATTGATATTTTCTATATTCTGGGCAGCCCAGGAGGAAAGGTGGAGAGGGGAGGTGTCACTGGTGTTTGCCAGGCATGCTGGAGATGGTACACTGAAATTGGGTGTGAAAAAACCTGAACCCTTGCAGCAATGGTAACAGAGCAATAGCTGCTTACATTTCTTGATTTACAGGGTCTGTAACTAGTACCAAGATTTTCAAAGGTGGTGATGTTAACAGCTGTTCAACATCTGGCAAACCTGGAAGTTCAGAGGCAAGAAAAAGCAATTAAAATGATGCTGTTCTGAGGAGCTGGTGGAGTTGTTTCTAAAATCCAAAGGTAGTCTGGGGTCAGAAGTCACTGTAGCAACAAGAGAAGAAATTAAAAGAGCAGGAGACCAAGAACAGGGAGAACTGTGAGAGTGGAGGGCTGGGAAGGGGGCTGGGTTGGTTTGAGGATGTCATCAATGAGAGGTTCACAGCAAGGGAGCAGGAGCAGGCTCAGTCAGCCCAAAAGGAAGATGGAAAGGGGGATGTAACAGCAGTTCATGGAGGTAAAGGCTGGTACTGGAGGCCAGGATCCTCCACAGCTTCCAGTCATTTCTGTCTCCATCCTCCAGCTGGGCTTCACTGCTTGCACTGTAAGGGCTAGTCATGGTTTTGTTCCTCTGCAAGGGCACCCTGTCTTTTCCTGCTGCCCAGGTCTTGCTCGTGATTCATTCTTGGGTTTGTAAGAGTCCAGAAGCTATGGACAGCCCGTGAATGCAGATAGCTTCAGATCTCCAGGCTGAGTCTGTCAGCTTTTTGCCATGGCTCTTTGTGCCATTAGTGCATCACTTGAAAGCAGTGGTCATCATCAAGGCAGGAGCTCTCTGCAGCCTGAAAAGGGTGGATTGTGAGAACTGTTAAAATAATGTCACTCTTGATGGGGGACGTAGGTGTTCCTGACTGGCTTTCACTAGGGGCCCTGCCAGGCAGCATGGGGAAGAATCCCACAGTCTACAGGTCCCTGAGCAGCACAGGAGCAGAGGGTTCATGTAATACCAAGGGCATACTTGGAGGAAATCTGTCCTTTTGTGTGGAAGCAATGACACAGTGAAGTGAAAGCTTTGTTTAAATGCATCTGCTTCATGGCAGGTGCCCCAGTGAACACAGGGAAGACTTGGTCTTTTTTTGTAAATCACCTCTGTAGATAAAAGTTCTGCCTTTTGTTAGAAATGCTCCAGTGTGAACTGTCCTTGATAGAGCTGTTGGCTGAGCCCTTCAATCCCTGTTTTCTTGGAAAGGGGAGGATATTTTTCAGGAGCATTCTCTTCAGACTAATTTCTCATTTTAGGTGTCGTGTGATGTTTGTTTGTGTAGAAGCAGCTGCATGCTGGATGGCTGGAGTCCATCCTTCACAAACCTCTGGTGCATCCTCTTGAAGAGCATCACGGTGGAGTGCATTAAGAACATTGTGTGACTCAATTCCTGGAGACACACGTGGTGGGCTGAGAGTGGCAGCTTTTTCTCTTTGATTCTCATGCACTGCAAGAAATAAGTCACAGTTCTAAGGTGAAGTCCCCCATTAGCAACAGCTGCTGTGTCTTAAAGATGGTAACAGCAAGCACTTGAGTAGCACTTTCTGTCTCCAGAGTCCTTTGCAGCCATTCATTGTTTCTGAATTACTTCTGAATTCTTTATGTCAGAGTTGGGTGCATTAAGAAGAGTGTGAGCAGCAGGTCGAGGGAGGTTCTGCTCTCTCTCTTCTCCTCTGCCCTAGTGAGGCTGCATCTGGATTGCTGTGTCCAGTTCTGGGCTCCCCAATTCAAGACAGATGAGGAGCCAGCTGTTAGCTGGAGAAGAGAAGACTCAGAGGGGATCTGATCAATGCTGAGCAAGAGCTAAAGGGCCCCAGGGGTCAAGAAGATGGAGCCAGACTCTTGTCAGTGGTGCCCAGCAACAGGACAAGGGGCAATGGACACAAAGTGGAGCCCAGGAGGTTCCATCTGAACAGGAGGAAAAATAACTTCCCTGTGAGGGTGGCAGAGCCTGGAGCAGGCTGCCCAAAGAAGTTTTGGAGCATCCTCTGGAGAGATTCCAAACCTGCCTGGACATGGGGATCCTGGGCACCCTGCTGTGGGTGACTCTGCTTTGGCAGCAGGGCTGGACGAGGTGTTCTCCAGAAGTCCTTTCCAACCCTCACCACTCCATGATTCTGTGAATAAAGGGTGAGTTCCTTTCATCAGTTCTCTAATGAGATAAACGTTCAGTCTGCCATGGCAAAGAGACAAAGCAAATGGCTCCAAGTGCTCCACTGGAGTAGAGCCACGTTCTGCTGTTTTGATTTTGGGGTACACAGTGGCCCCAGAGGACGTACGGCCGGCAGCACTTCTGCTGGTGGAAATCTTCAGGCTGTTTGAAATCAGGTGCCTGTGGCACTTCTGCCTTCCTACAGCTGGTGTAGGAGGTGGGCTCTTCCCCACCTCCTGGAGTGTCCCTCAGCCCCGTGCAGCGTGCGTGGTGCTGGGGGTGGGTGCACACGTGGGCTCCTGGCTCTGGAGTTGGAGGAGGCTGGGGAGGGGCGAGTGTCTGTGAGCAGCAGCTCAGCCCTGGGTGGTGGGGAGCTGTGCCCAGACCTCCCTCGCCCAGCCCCCTTTCATGGGCAGCCACTGCAGAAGATGAGGCCGTGCAGCTGCTCTTCAGACCACGTTCCCTGTCAGTACCCAGAACCTCACAGGGGGGCCAGTGATCCAACTGGCAGAGAGTGGGCCCCCAACTTGGGAGCATCTCTGCATGACCACATCTGAAGGAAGAGGAGGCTCTGTCCTGCCACTGGCATCATTGACAAAACTCCCATTGACTCAGGGAAGAGGATGAGGAGGCCCAGCAGTGCAGAGCTCTGATGTCATCTCCCTGGTTTACTTTGGTTTCCAAAGACCCCTTTGTGCTTCTCTCCCTTGCTTTGTATTCTGAATGTTCAGCCCGTTTCTGCACTCAGGGTCCCCATCTGTAACTGCATTGAGATTTTTGTGATCCTGGTACGTACAGGTTGACTAGCAAGTCCCACTGATCCTTCAATACAAGCTTTAATAAAATCCATGAGAGAAGGAGGAGAGAAATGAGGGTGTGGAGGAGGAGGAGGAGAGCTGCTATTGTTCTGCCAAGCCATCCCTTGTTTTTCCTGGGGACTGCCTGCGTGTCCTGCTCCAGCAAACGGGGCAGTCCGCAGCCTGGCGGGAGGGTTGCTGGGTCTGAGCTGGGAAGTCTTGTGTGAGTCAGGGAGCAGGCACGGGAGGGAGGAAGCCACGTGGGGACATCTGTGTGGCTTAGCTCTCAGCAGCTCTGCCTGGGGCAGGGCTGGCAGAGTCCTGAGAGGACAGGACAGATTGTGTCCCTGGTGAGCGGGGAGCATGGTCGGTGTCACGCCCGGGCCGGGCGTCCCCACTACTTAATGGAGCAGTGCCCAGACCTCCTGCTCTGCCTCACACACCCCAAAACAGCTCGTCCAGACGGAGCACTGAGGAGAATGTGATATGGTCCAAAAACTGATCCTGGACTTTTTTCGCAGACGACTGAGCCAGAGGCCGACCGCGGAAGAGTTGGAGCAGAGGAACATCCTGAAACGTAAGTGCTGCTGCTGCTGACACTCAGCCTGAAGCCACTGAGTTTGGGCTGCTGTAGACCTGTGTTGGGTGGTCTTTAGAAAAATTCAGCTGTTCTGTAAGCGCATCAGAAATGCAAACAAGTGTGCAAGTCTGCAGCAACGACTAGAGATGCAGAAACTATTCACATTCTTTAAAATCGGAGTCAGTAAATTGAAAGGACTGAACAATCTGTGTGGAAAAAAGCCCCAGACCTTGAACCTCCTGTTCCAAACAGAGGGTTGCTCGTTCTGGAAAGCCTTTATGCAGCTCCTGCACAGATGAGCATCCTGTTATAAGTCAGTAAAGACGTTAGGGCATGACTTGATTAGTTTTCATAAAAATAGTCACTGCAATCTAGACTAGGTGGAGCCTTTATTAAATTAAAAAAAGAAACCAATGTGAGTCAGGGTTATTTCCCTAAAATATTCTCCTGAAACTTCCTTTAAATCAGCCAAAAACTTGCTGGTAGGTCCTCAGAGTGTGAAATGATATTTTAAAGGGACCAAATACCATTTAGAGACCCTGATCTGAGTTAAGTTAGTAGATATATTGCCACCAGCTTCAAGGGAAGCGTGACTGAGTGTAGCACAAACCTTGTAATCTCATGAATGAATAGGAAAAAAATGAGTTTCTTTACTCACATCAAAGTGATTTGAGTATTAAAAAAATAGAGTTGTTTATCTAATTGTTACTTCGGAAACAGGAAGCAAAAGAAACCACTTCTTCCCTTTTTAAGTTAGCAAATGCATAATTCCAGGGAAATTAAAAAAAGATACTACAGGGAAAAAGCATTCTAGATGTTCCCTTATACATAATGTCTCCTTAGGTAGAGCCATAATTTGCCTTGTCTTGTAAAATAACCTCATTGTTCTGAATCATAAAAATGTGGTAGCAGATTAATTCTCTGAAAATTGGCAGAATTGATGGATGAAATACTTTAAAATCAAATTCCTAGCAAGTTAATGGCAGCATTGACACTCAGCAGGGCTCTTCAGCTGTTTGTGTTACTACACGTGGCAAAGACAAAGAGAGAGACCCCCGTGAGTGCAGCCTGGAGAGCAGAGCAGCCAGAAAAGCCATTTCTTTGGGGCCAGCCCCTCTCGAGAGCTGTGCTCCTGCCACCTCCTCCCTGCTCCTGTGCCTGGCTGCTGTGGGACGTCAGGGGCAGAATCTGGAGCAATAGGTGGCACATCCAGATGTGATTGTCTCTCAGGGTGGGCAGCAGAACAGCTGGAGGAGGGGGAACCTGTGACGTGACTGGTGCCAGGCTGAGGCAGGAGGGGCAGGGGCCAGTTCTGCTGGGCAGCTCCTGTTGTCCCGGGGGGTCTGTGAACCAACACGTGTCCTGGCACTGGAGCGTGACCAGTGGGCACCACCCTGGCACTGGGACTGGTGCCAGGCTGAGGCAGGAGGGGCAGGGGCCAGTTCTGCTGGGCAGCTCCTGTTGTCCCGGGGGGTCTGTGAACCAACACGTGTCCTGGCACTGGAGTGTGACCAGTGGGCACCAGCCTGGCACTGGGGAGGGTGGCTGGGGGGCTCGGGCAGCTGCTTGGGCAGCAGTGTTTGAACCAGCATGAGCAGAGAGGCAGCACCTCCAACCCTGGGTGCCTTGCAGAGACTCCTAAAGGTCAGGTTGCCAAGCAGAGCAGACCTGAAGGTGCCTCACATTTCAGAGGAACTATCCCCTGAATCACATTAGTTTCTTTTTGAATTGAATGAAGGCTCTTTATTTATGTGCTTGAAAATATTACCCTGAATCCAGAACTATATTTCTTAAATGGAATTTTTGTTGCTTGATTCCTAAGCATAGATCTGCCCCAAAACGTGTGTCTTGGCAGACAAACAACTTCATAATTAGGGGAAAAAGCAATGTGGTATTTCCAAAGCATCCCAACTTCTGGTGAAGCGTAGTGGGAAAGGAGCAAAAAATTAAAATAGTTACATAAATAAAACAAAGAAAGCATAAAAATGCTCCACCTTTAAACAAGTAAATATAAACAGTGTCTGGTTTGCACATTGCCCTGTGTCCTCTCCCTAGACTTCTGAGAAGGAAAATTATAGTAAATATCATGGAGCCTGGAGAAGAAGAGCTGTAGGAGGCAATAATGAGAAGAGTGTAAATTCTCTGCAAAATCAGGTCAAGCAGTTTGCACAAGCCCAGTCCAGAGCACACCTACACACACAAAGAAAACCCAGCACACTTCCAGGCAGACTAGAAAGGATTTCCTCTGCAGTTAAAGCTGAAATCTCCAGGATGCAAATGTCACGTCTGGTCCCGTGATGTTCCAGCCACAGAGAATGGGCACACCGGTGCTTGAAGGGTCCTCCACTGGATTACATCCAGTTCACTGGCTCTTCCTTAAGTCAAAGGCATGTAGTGAGAGGAATCCAGGCTAAGAACACTTTTTGTAGTTAATAATTGCTGGCCAAGGGGTGCCTCAGCCCCCCTCACTCTCCACCCCCATGCCACTTCTCAGGTGGACACACACAGTTCAGTTGTCCTGGTGCATTCAGGGCTGCACAAATTCCTCACAAAAAAAAAAAAAAAGATGGTTAGGGACATTTCAAAGTGGGGTAGAAATGAGGCTTGAATGTCACACCCACACCCATCCATCCCCCCACCCTCACACACGGAGGTCTGGAGAAACAGAGCATCTCCTGAACACATCAGGTAAAGTAAAGCAGCAGTTCTGTGGCTTCACAGGAGTGGCATGGCTTCACTTCAAAGAAATGGCTAAAACAAAGTCTGGTCTCAGAGGATGTATTCCCAGCTCCCAGCTTCTACCTGACCAAGGTCTTCAGCCTGCCTGGCTGCCTCTGAAGGTGGGTGGCTGGGCTGAGAGGTGAGGAGGAAAGGAAGATGTCATATGCCACTTACAGAAATGAATGGCCACAACTTCAGTTTTATCCATCTGACTCCCCAGCTGCTTGCAGTTCTGCCCTGGCTCTGTGTGGGCTCTGTTCAGTGCTGCATCTCTCTGGGTTAGTCTCACAAGGATTTATTAGTGGCTCTGTTTCTGAAAGTGGGGATTTGCAGGAGCAGCTCCTACAAATTCAGGACACAAAAGGAAGAATGGAGTTGCTAGAGGAGCAATTGTTGGAAGAGAATCCAGCCCAGTAGGGACAGGAACCACTGAAAGAGGAAAAATATATTTATCAGTGTAGGTATTCCAGTTATCATCTTAAAAGCCATTTGTGACTCCCTGATGTCTTCTGTTCTTTTTCACTCCAGTCTCAGCTTCCTTCCTCCTGAAACTGTGAGCAGTATTTTTGGTAAAACGGCACTTCAAGTTCAGAAGCATATTGTAGAACATCATAACAGTGACAGGCTCTCTGAAAGAGGAAAAATATATTTATCAGTGTAGGTATTCCAGTTATCATCTTAAAAGCCATTTGTGACTCCCTGATGTCTTCTGTTCTTTTTCACTCCAGTCTCAGCTTCCTTCCTCCTGAAACTGTGAGCAGTATTTTTGGTAAAACGGCACTTCAAGTTCAGAAGCATATTGTAGAACATCATAACAGTGACAGGCTCTTC